GAGTGTCGTTTTACCTCCAATACTGCTGCTTTCAACACAGTAGCTGCTTTAACAACACAGCAGCTGCTTTCTACACAGTAGCTGCTCTTTACATATCGGAAATATGTGTTTTCTGATGGTCTTAGGGGACCCCTGTGAAAGGGTCGTTCGACCCCCAAAGAGGTCGCAACCCACAGGTTGAGAACCACTGATCTAGGAGCTTAAAAAAAAAGGTAGTGTGCATGGAGCCTGAAAAGGTAATCCTAGCATTTATGTTACACATTGAATTCCCTGTAAAATCTCCTTATCCAAAGAGAGTTTAATGAATTACCATTTGAACATGTGGAATTAAACAATGGAAGACAAGAGCCATTTGTAAATGGATATTTGCTCAACATTCTTTTTTGCATCAATGGCTTTTGGCTTTAAAGGATACGTGCACTTTAAAACGAAGTACATTTATCCTATTTGCCCCCTTTTCCTGACTTTACCTATCCCACCCTCCCCCTCTACAGGTAAACACTTTATCTTGATCCCATGACTTCAGTTGCACTGTTTACATCCAGAACCTCAAGTCTTCACTGTCCTGGCCCCGCCTGTGCATTACAGCCACAGACTTCTATTTATTTATTTCAGGTACGTATATAGAGCCATCAATTTACACAGTGCTTTACATATATATTGTACATTCACATCAGTCCCTAACCCTCAAGGGGCGTACAATCTAATGTCCCTAACTCACATTCATACATACACATACTAGGGACAATTTAGGCAGGAGCCAATTCACCTACCAGCATGTCTTTGGAGTGTAGGAGGAAACCGGAGACCCGGAGGAAACCCACGCAGGCACAGGGAGAACATGCAAACTCCAGGCAGGTGGTGCCATGGTTGGGATTTGAACCAACGACCCTAGTACTGCCAGGTGGAAGTGCTAACCATTTAGCCACTGTTCTACGGAACCTTTCCTGATAGACTGCCTCCTTGCAATACCACAGACGTGACCAGGACAGTCAAGACTTGCATGTAAATAAGAAGCAAAACTGTGGCCAAAAGGTAAGTATGCATCTGTGGAAGGGGAGGGCGGGTTAGGGGGAAAAAAAAAAAAAAAAAAAAAAAAAAAGGATAACATCAGATGGGCAACTCGGCCATGTAAATAAGAAGCAAAACTGTGGCCAAAAGGTAAGTATGCATCTGTAGAAGGGGAGGGTGGGTTAGGTCAGGTTGGGGGGGGGGGGGGGAAGAAAGAAAAAAGGATAACATCAGATGAGCAACTCTGCCACTGGCTAATCTGTCAAAATCGCCTGAAGCAAGATCATACGAGGCTCCCTGTTTGTCCCTAGGAAATTGTTCCCTCTGTAGCTGAAGCACTGAGATGTCACTCCTACTGCTAATGGACAAGATTTAACTGCATTCGGGCCAGCGGCAGTGCGACATCTCAATCCATGTGACTACAGAAAGAGCGATTTCATAGGGACACACAGGTAGCTTCCTGCTGATCCTCTCTCTGACTACTTGACTCTAGGGGCAGAATCGCCCATCAGACATCTGGTGCACACCAATTCAAATATTTATACAAGCTTGCTGAAACAGAAACAGTTTTCAGTAACAATGTATAAGTAACCACAAACTTGCTGCTTACTCAAAACTTCCCTTTTTTATTATAATAGAAACATTTCTAGACACTGGGTGATTTCTGCAACGATCAGCAAATTTTATCCTGTCACCCAAAAAAGCAGAAGAGATTGATAAACAACAGTTGCTTTAGCAAAATCATAAAAACTTCAAGTGTTACTAAACCCAGGACCCTGCATCTACTAGATCTGGTCACCCACAGTACACAGAACATGGAAATGCAATTATTTTCGTAAATATAAACTGCTAAATACCTTTTCTCATCAGCAGATAGAGCAGTCTTATGACTTCAGCTGAGCACTGGTTAAAGCTTGTAGGAGGAGTTTTCTTTCTGATCTAGGAGGATGCAAAACCCCTGACCCTCTGTCTGGACAGTGCTGATTGGCCCTGTGTTGAGCACGTGCACTCTCCCAAGAAAAAAAAAAAACCCTCTCTAGCATTACACACTAAACTGAGAGTGTGCATGTGACTACGGGTTCAGTCGGTCTTATCAGGTGGACATTTGAACAAGAGGAGGGGCAGAGAAAACAGGATCAAGCAGCCTTTTTACACAATGCAGAGGATTAACCCCTTAGGTTCCACAGTGATATAACAAGCATGCTTTCCTGCATATACAGACTGATTTCACTGTTGTGGGTTTAGGAACACTTTAAGCTGACCATACATAGATCGAAATTCATCCAGTTCAGCAAAGACTGGACGATATTTGACTCACGAATGGGCCCCAAGGTTTTACAGAAGCTGATCTAGTGATTGACTTCTGTACAACCACCCCCAAAACAATCAGTACCATTGGCTATAGCTGGCAACACTGATCACTGTATTTTGACAGCAGCAAAGGTGTGAGAACACATTAGCAGAGCAGGAGTGATTCCCCCATTCACCCTGAATGTGTGGATGGGGGAAATCTGCACTTGTTTTCTTTCAACCCGCTGGCTGAACGGAAGAAAAAAAATGTATAATGTAAGACCTTCCTTTAAGTCAGTCTGTTTGAAGTCAGGGTCACTTTGACACAGATTTAACCTCCTTAGTCCCTCCGTAAAAATCAGTGGTGGCAGCTGTATCCACAAACTGGTCACATGAGCAAACATTGCTTGTCAGCTCCTTTGTCACAGACATGATAGTGTGAACACCAGAGAAGGATGAAGACCTTTCAGTAGTATTTGGGCTCATTCACCTGGGCATACTGTAAAGCCTTTAGCCATAAATCATATAAAAATACGTCTGTATTTATGGCACCTGTAACACAACTCTGCCCATTGAAATGTATTACACAATATGCTGCACATGAGAAGAGGTGTTTTTTGGGTGTACTTCCCTAAACATGAGACTTCTTTGTTCAAGGAATTATGTCCAAACATGTGCGCATGTAAATGAGTGATAACTTGCGTGTGTGTTATGAGTAATAACTACAGATCATCTTGAATGCATGTTGACAGATATTATTTACCTGAGGATTTGAGGCTGGAAAAGCAGCTGTAAACCCTGACTGAATGACGTGTATCAAACAAGTGCAATGTTGTCATCATAAAATACTCTTTACACCTTTTCAGGCCCATAGCAGAAACACAAAAATTGCTGTAGTCCATGGGGGTGTACAGGGGCAAGAGATGAAATGGTTACAGCTGAACTCTAGTCAGACAGCTGAAATAGACATGGGGCGTTGTTGTAGCTGCCAGAATTAAGGCTAGCTAGGGAAAACTAAGGGTTAACAATGGGGCTCAAGGGGAACACATTTGATAAAACACTACTTTTTTTTTTTTTTTGGTGAGGCTGCTTTAACCAACATCATATACAGTTTGTTTCATTCTTCTATAGATCAAGAGATGAACTTCAGAGTAGATACAAATGTAACAGTTATTAGGTATTTTGTATCCCCTTTGTTCCAATAAATACTTTGTATCTCTATCACTCTGTACAGGGCAGGGGTAGGCAACCTTTTGAGCACAGCATGGTGAAAAATGTTTTCAAAGAAATTGAAAGTGCCGGTTTTATATAAAAAAAAAAAAAAAGCCAACTTCACACTCCGGATCATGAAAAGGAATTTGCACAAAGTAAATGTTGTAAACAACTTGAGTAATAGTGAGAAATGAACATCCTGCACTTTCACGCCTCAGATCAGTACAAAATGCTGCAACTTCACACTTCAGATCAGCCTCAATTCCTGCACCTCCAGTCCTCATATCAGCCCCAATTCATGCACCTTCACACCTCAGATCACTGTACCCCCCCTGCAAATCTGTCCCAACACTGTACCCCCCTGCTCATCTATCCCACCACTGTACCCCCCTGCTCATCTGTCTCACCACCGTAAACCCCTGCATACCTACCCCACCACTGTACCCCCCTGCTCATCTGTCCCACCCACCACTGTACCCCCCTGCTCATCTGTCTCACCACCGTACCCCCCTGCATACCTACCCCACCACTGTACCCCCCTGCTCATCTGTCTGTCCCACCACTGTACCACTTGTACCCCCCTGCTCATCTGTCCCACCACTGTACCCCCCTGCTCATCTGTCCCACCACTGTACCCCCCTGCTCATCTGTCCCACCACTTTACCCCCTGCTCATCTGTCCACCACTGTACCCCCCCCCCTGCTCATCTGTCCCACCACTGTACCCCCCTGCTCATCTGTCCCACCACTGTACCCCCCTTCTCATCTGTCCCACCACTGTACTCCCCTGCTCATCTGTCTCACCCCCCCCCTGCATACCTACCCCCACTGTACCCCCCTGCTCATCTGTCCCACCACTGTACCCCCCCGCTCATCTGTCCCACCACTGTACCCCCCTTCTCATCTGTCCCACCACTGTACTCCCCTGCTCATCTGTCTCACCACCGTAAACCCCTGCATACCTACCCCATCACTGTACCCCCTGCTCATCTGTCCCACCACTGTACTCCCCTGCTCATCTGTCCCACCACTGTACCACCTTCTCATCTGTCCCACCACTGTACCACCTTCTCATCTGTCCCACCACCGTAAACCCCATCACTGTACCCCCCTGCTCTTCTGTCCCATCACTGTAACCCCTGCTCATCTGCCCCACTGCTGTATACCTCTACTCTTCTGTCTCACCTCTGAACCCCCTTCTCATCTACCCCACCACTGTACTCCCCTTCTCATCTGTCCCACCACTGTACTCACCTGCACATCTTCCCCACCTCTGTAGCCCCCTACTCTTCTGCACCATCACTTTACCCCCCTGCACATCTGCCCCACCGCTGTATCCCCCCTGTATCCCCCTACTCTTCTGTCCCATCGCTGACGACCCCCCCCCTTTGCATTTGTCCCAACAACGAACCACCCTGCTCATCTGCCCCACCGCTGTACCCTCTTCTGTGATATGCGCAATATGAGGAGCAGGGGCGGACTGACAACTCATGGGGCCCCCGGGCAATAGGGGATCATGGGGCCCCGTGTCCTTGCCCAAACTCAAAAAAGCCTATGAAAAAAGTACCAGGGGCATCTCATGGGGCCCCCTACTGACCCTGGGCCCTCGGGAAGTGCCAGAGTTTCCAAATGGTCAGTCCTCCCCTGATGAGGAGTGATGCAGGGAAGCAGAGATGAGGCATAGCTTCCCATCCCAGCACACTCATCCCCACTGATACATCTCTCTCATCCAGCCAAGGTGCTTGTATGTGCTGTCTCATACAAGCATCTGGAATGGATGACTAGTGACGAGCTCAGGTCAGGGGCATTTTCAGAAAGCAGTGGGCCTGTGTGCTAGATCATAAATTGGGCCCTCCCAACTGAGAAAAAGTGCAGTGCATGCGCAGAGCGCCGCAGGAAAAGTTAGGTGTGATTCATTGCACTGAATACTGGCCTTGGCTTAAAGGGACGCAGGGTGAAGGGGTTCAGTAGTAAGTAATTCAAACGTTCAGCCGTAGGTGAGCCAGAGTTCAGGGGTCAGGAGTAAGTAATACAGAGCTCAGGGTTCAATGTATACTCATAGCTATGTGATGAATAAGTGAAGAAAGAAATAGCAAGGGGGGCAGGGATTGCAAAAAAGTGTGATATGACAAACAATAAGTCATTTTAAAATGTCAGCAAGATAAAACTCTGATAGACAAGAATGTGACAATGGTTTACCACCTGTCTTCTCCATCCAAAATTTAAAATGGCCAGAGTGGTAGGAGAGAAGCAGCAAATCAAAACAAACAGGTAGCTAATTGTTTCAACAAAGTTCCCAGAATCTCAATGGTAATTCCACAAACTGTCAACTGATGTGTTTCTCAAACACATTGAAATCCCCCTTCTTTCTGAGATTGGTAGTGGCAGCCAAACAAGCCATCTTACTCCAGATGGTGGGCGGGGCTAATCCAACACAACAAACACTTTACTCCTGCGCTAGGAAAGGACTCAGCAGACCCAATAGGAATGTTCTGGAATTTTCTGGAATATGCACTGCTTGCTGCCCTCAACACACCGGGGTGGTCCAAATACACTGGATACAAATGGAGAACCAAAAAAAGGCCGCACCGACCTAGTGCATTATCGTTTAAAATAATTTATTGAAGAAACAAAATAGGTATCATACTCACAATGGACATATTAACACAGGCATGTCAAACTGAACAAGATGTATGAGCCAAACAACATCTGTGTTGGCTCTGAGGAAGAGGTTGTGTCCTCAAAACGCGTTAGCCAGTTGGTCATCCAGGGTTCCATCGTATGGACTCAGATGTTGTTTGGATCATACATCTTGTTCAGTTTGACATGCCTGTGTTAATATGTCCATTGTGAGTATGATACCTATTTTGTTTCTTCAATAAATTATTTCAAACGATAATGCACTAGGTCGGTGCAACCTTTTTCTGTTTCTCCATTTGTATCCGGTGGGGGGGCTAGCAGGACTGATTGGCTTTAGCAGTGGTCTATCACAGCCCTCCTGCTCCTGAACACAGGGACCACTCTCCTAGCAGGACTGCAGCCAATCACTTCCTCATCACAAGAGCTGGAGGGATCTTTGCTGCTGCTGCAAGTGATAATCACAGCTACAGTAAAGATACAGAACTAATCAATGTTTCCCATCTTGTACAATGTATGAGGGTACAGTGCCTCTGTGCAGCAAAGGGAATTCTGAGATCGGAATGTGGCAGAAGCTGTACATCACTGACACTTCCCTGTGCTGCTCTGCTGATGGGGTGGGAGTCATGTGTTGGCAAAAGAGGCTTCGCGTGCCATTTGTGGCAGCTGTGCCAGAGGTTGCCTGCCCCTGGTATAGGGTGTGTAATAAACAATGCTACTACTATAACCTTATCACTCTGAATAGTGTTTTTAACGGCTTCAGCAACGGAAGATTTTACCCCCTTCACGACCAGACCATTTTTTTGTTATTCGGCACTGCACTACTTTAACTGGTAATTGTGCTGTCATGCAACACTGTACCCAAATTAAATTTATATCTTTTTTTTTTCTCACAAATAGAGCTTTCCTTTGCTGGTATTTGATCACCACTGGGTTTTTTTTTTTTTTTGTAATATAAATGAAAAAAGCCCAAAAGTTAAAAATACATTTAGAAAAACAAAATCTACTTTCTGCTATAAAACATATTCAATAAAAAAAAAAAAAATGAAAAAATAAATCTAATTTCTTTCTACATTTTGGCCAAAATGTATTCTGTTAAATGTTTTTGATACAAAAAAAAATCTCAATAAGTGTATATTGATTGGTGTGTGTGAAAGTTATAGCGCCTACAAACCATGGTGTATACATACTGGAAATTGTATTTATTTTTTTTATACTACTACTGGCAGCAATTAGCGACTTATAATGGAAATGTGATGTGATAAAAATGTGTTACTTTGTTCCCTATCACTGTGAATTGATAATAATTGTTTATAAACAATGTTCCTTTTATCCCTATCACTCCTCTGAATAGTGTTTATAAGCAATGTTCCTTTGTATCTCCATCTCTCCTCTGAATAGTATTTATAAGCAATGTTCCTTTGTATCTCCATCTCTCCTCTGAATAGTGTTTATAAACAATGTTCCTTTGTATCTCCATCTCTCCTCTGAATAGTGTTTATAAGCAATGTTCTTTTGTATCTCCATCTCTCCTCTGAATAGTATTTATAAACAATGTTCCTTTGTATCTCCATCTCTCCTCTGAATAGTATTTATAAACAATGTTCTTTTGTATCTCCATCTCTCCTCTGAATAGTATTTATAAACAATGTTCCTTTGTATCTCCATCTCTCCTCTGAATAGTGTTTATAAAACAATGTTCTTTTGTATCTCCATCTCTCCTCTGAATAGTGTTTATAAACAATGTTCCTTTGTATCTCCATCTCTTCTCTGAATAGTATTTATAAACAATGTTCCTTTGTATCTCCATCTCTCCTCTGAATAGTGTTTATAAACAATGTTCTTTTATATCTCCATCTCTCCTCTGAATAGTGTTTATAAACAATGTTCTTTTATATCTCCATCTCTCCTCTGAATAGTATTTATAAACAATGTTCCTTTGTATCTCCATCTCTCCTCTGAATAGTGTTTATAAACAATGTTCCTTTGTATCTCCATCTCTCCTCTGAATAGTGTTTATAAACAATGTTCCTTTGTATCTCCATCTCTCCTCTGAATAGTGTTTATAAACAATGTTCCTTTGTATCTCCTCCATCTCTCTTCTGAATAGTTTTTATAAACAATGTTCCTTTGTATCCCTATCACTCCTCTGAATAGTATTTAGAAACTATGTTCTTTTGTACCTCGATCACGCCTGACAGTGTTTATAAATACTGTGCCAGACAGTGGTTTCTTATAGCATCAGCTATTACAGCGGCTTTATTTACACAGCAACTTTCGACTATCATTCTGCATATCAGGAATCGCTGGGAAGTCTGAGGGTGAACGGCAGCAGGGCAGAAGGATTGGGCATGCTCCAAAAGCTCTATGTACTTCAATTAGGTTTTTGGGTGTGTATAGTATGTACAGCGTCTACAAGATCAACATGTCATTTACCATTTCTAATGACAAATCTGTTTGGATTTTTAAATATAACCCATTTACAATTCTAAGCCTAAAGAAATGAGGCCTGATGATATGCAAATAAATGAATTCCCTAAACAAGAATAACTTGTTATCTGAGCTTTTTCTGGAAGTCAGTGGAAGATGAACAAGTGATAGCTATCTAATGCTAATGCAGGCCATAGGCGGGCTGAAAAATCGGTCGGCCCAGTTGCTGATGCTGCCACCAATGTCCACAAAAAACAGCCGTTTTTCGTGGATTTTCCAGCATGACAGATAAAAATAAATGAGAAGATCCGTGAAAAACAGCCGATGGGCTGGCCCCACTAACGGCGTGAATATCGGGTGATTTTTCGTGCGGACGAAAATTCGGCCGATAAATGACCTGTCTATGGCCTGCATAAGATGGGGATGCAGCACTTTGTTTTCTTTTAAATCTACCAATTGGGCTCTTTAAAGGTGTGGTTTCCCTGCATTTGGATCACACAATAGGGCCTCGGGCACACTAGTGTTTAAGCCCATGTGCGTCAAATTCCAGCATTTCCAGACGCCCAAGTGGCAAAGGTGCAGCATCTAGTCCTGCTGTCGGCAGCCTGTCAAAATCTACAAGGGACTGAAATACGCAGCAGCTGGACACGGTACCAAACGGCACTGCATTTAGAGGTTTATGCATTCAGAGGCACATGCCCGGAAGGCAAACATGATAGTGCGAACACCAGAGAAGGATGAAGAACTCTTAGGAATATTTGGGCTCATGCACCTTGGCATACTGTAGAGCCTATGGCCAAAGCTATAGCTGCAGTGCAGTGTCATGTGGTGGATTGAGCTGTGCCGAAAAATAAAAAAGCAGTGCATGCTGTACTGGTTTTCAGCACACACCATTGTGACATGATGGCATAAACTGGCCTGATAGGAAACAAGAATTTTTGACTTAGAACAGGGCAAAGCACAGCACAGTTCCAACACACCTATGGTGAAAAGGCCCTTAGCCCTGCAGGTCTGCATCAGCAGCCCATTCAAAATAAATGAACTTCCTTAGGGCCCATTTACACAGGATGAATGGGATGATTTTCTGACTGCACTCCAACTACATAGACAGTCCACAATTCAGGTTATCCTATAGGCATAGTTCACACTAGTGCAGTGAGGGAAAAAATGCACAGCAAGCAAGCTGCATTTGTATGCACTGGAAACACATGAAAATGCATATAAGCACAAAAATGCACTGCAACACAGTACACATAAAAGCCTAGAGAAGAAAAAACAGAAGTGACTTCAAAAGAAATGCAAGCTTAGAAAAAAAAAAAAAATGCACCGCAAATACAAATAAAAATGCATGTCAAATACACGTCACTGCACATGCAAAAAAAACGCACAGTAAAACGCAGTTTCTGGGGTGAATGGGCCCTTAAAGTATAATTAAAGGCAAAACCTTTTTTTCTAGATTTGGACACAGTGGAGAGGGATTAGAACCCCTGTCAGATTGCTGTCTGGGTCTCCATTAGGAAGATTAACCCTCTCTATTTGTTCTGTTTACTGATATTGAAAGCTAAAAAAAAAAAAGAAACCTTCCAATGGGCAGCACAGTGGCTAAGTGATTAGCACTTCCTCCTAGCAGAACTAGGGTTGTTGTGCCAAACATGGCACTACCTGCTTGGATTTTGCATGTTCTCCCTGTGCAGGTTTCCT